CAGTTACAAGCTGGCCACTTAGCTCAGTTAGTTGGAGCGCAGCCTTGTGACACCACGATCATGGGTTTGGATCCCCTTTCCATCCAGCCACCAACCCAAAAACCAAAAAATGACAGTTACAAATAACCAACATATCCCTCAAATTTGGGGGGGAGGGGCCCATTTCTAGTCATGTGATCTGGGAAGGGCGGACCCAGCCTGGCCAATCAGGTCACCAGGGTAATTAATTCAGGAATGGGCCAAGCCCATGAGACTCGTCCTGGCGCTTCTGCTGAGCTCACGGGAGAGAAGTGCTGTCTCGTCACTGGAAGAGCTAGTTGCAGGTAACCAAGGGATATGGAATTTCTGGGGCCATCCCTGCTGCTCTTCAAAAGAGTCTGCCTGAAAAATGAAGCTGACACAGAGGAAATAAAGGGGCGGGATGAGTCTTGGTTGCCATTAGTTGAATCCTGATCCCACTGAGCCAGAAGCCATCTACCTACTTAGAGACATTTTTAGTTACAAAGACAAATAATTTAGTGTTTTGTTGGTTTGAGTTAGGCTTCAGTCACTTGGGATGAAGAGGCCCAACGAATACCAGAATACCACGTCCTTTCATGCACAGGCCCCACCCGCCTCCCGTGCTTCAAAGCCTTGAGGGGGATAACGTGGACCTAGGCGGTGCCAAGCTAGCCAGTCTCCTGGTTAAGCATCCAAAGGGACCCTGGAAGTGCGACTGCCCTGGCCTGATGAGCAGCCTTGCCTGGCACTCACTGAAGGGCCGGAGGGGCATTGCTTACCTGAACGCTTAGCTCCCCTCTGTTCCCCAGCTCTCCCCGGATCTCCTCCTCTGGCTTTGTTCTGTAGTTGCAAGTGCACGCTTGGGTGCATGTGTGCCCACTCCTCCTACCTGGCAGGGTTATTGGAAGCATCAAATGGGCTGACGTAGGCACCGGCTCAGCCCAGGGCCCGCACACATAACTGACCCTCTCTGCCGTCCCTTCCTCCTCCTGCTTCAGAGTACGATCTCAGGGTCCGCGATGTATCCCAATCTTCCATGCCCTGAATAAATAATGGGGAGGTAGAGCATCCTGCTTCAGAGTACGATCTCAGGGTCCGCGATGTATCCCAATCTTCCATGCCCTGAATAATGGGGAGGTAGAGCTTAGTTGCCAGAAATTTGCACTCGTTTTAATTAATTTTATCTGTTTAGAGTGAGATAGCTCAAAGTCATTGAATAAATTTATGTCACATATGTTTATGCAAATCAGTGTTTTTCTTCTGAGCTCACAGCCGCAGTCCTTGTTTTGCTCCAGGATGCTGTGGCAGAGGCAAATGTCCCATGTTTCCTGAGTGATGGCTGCCAGCTCTCCAAATGTCCCAGCAGGCGAGGCATTTCACATGAAGGCAAGCACCAAGGTTAAGTGTGGCCAGGAAGCACCTACGAGCCCATTTCCACCTATTTCCTTTATGTTTATAACATATTTTATTCTTCTGTATTAAGATTATGAAAATTTATACTTACACATCAAGCAATCTAGAGTACACAAAAAATTAATGTTTTAACCTATTCCAACCTCACCCTTTCAAGTAAATGATGTGATCTGATTCGTGTGTATTCTTTCACATTTTTTTATATAAATATTTTCCCACATATACACATTTCCCCACATGTTCCCCACATGCATACATTTTCCCACATTTAAAAAACATACACATCTGACAAAGGACTAATATCCAGAATATATAAAGAACTCAAACATCTTTACAAGAAAAAAACAAGCAACCCAATTAAAAAATGGGCAAAAGAGCTAAGTAGGCATTTCTCTAAAGAAGATATGCAAATGGCCAACAGTCATATGAAAAAATGCTCAACATCACTCAGCATCCGGGAAATGCAAATCAAAACCACACTGAGATACCATCTCACCCCAGTTAGGATGGCAAAAATCCAAAAGACGCTGAAAGATAAATGCTGGCATGGTTGCAGAGAAAAAGGAACTCTCATACATTGTTGGTGGGAATGCAAAATGGTGCAACCCCTATGGAAAATGGTTTGGAGGTTCCTCAAACAGCTGAAGATAGAGCTACCATACGATCCAGCTATCCCACTACTGGGAATATACCCAAAGGAATGGAAAACATCAAGTCGAAGGTATACCTGTTTCCCAATGTTCATTGCAGCACTCTTCACAATAGCCAAGAGCTGGAATCAACCCAAATGTCCATCATCGGATGAGTGGATACAGAAAATGTGGTATATCTACACAATGGAATACTACTCAGCTATAAAAATGAATGAAATACTGCCATTTGCAACAACATGGATGGACCTTGAAAGAATAATACTGAGTGAAACGAGTCAGGCAGAGAAAAAGAAATACCACATGTTCTCACTTATTGGTGGGAGCTAAAAAAAAATAAAAACAAAAAACAAATCAATTCACTCACATACACACACACACACACACACACACAAAAAAAAAAAC